TGCCCGCCCTGCGCCGCCAGCTCGTGGTGCTCATGAAGACCATGGACAACGTGGCCACCTTCTGCATGCTGCTCATGCTCTTCATCTTCATCTTCAGGTATTTCTTGGTGTTTCAGGTGTTTCAGCTCTTCCTGAGGCGTTGTTCTGCTTCGGGGATGGGGACACGGTGCCGGTGTGGGGGGGATCCCTTGGGAAGGCTGGGCTGGAACAGAGGATGGAAGAATTAAAGAATAGAACAGAGGCTGGACAGAGTTAAAGAATAAAGTAGGGATTAATTAAAAGGCCTCAATGGATACACCTTGGGCCTGGCCAGGGCTACAGCCAAGATGAACCAAAATGGTCCCAAAATGCACGACCACTCACGGGGTCTCTCACTTTTATAAGTTCTGCTCCATTCGCATATTGGAGTTAATTGTCCAATTCCAGCTTTAGGTTATGCAGTCCTGTCCTTGTTTTTCTCTCCTCAGCCCACATTGTTTGTGCTCTTGGGCCTGAGATTTGGATCATTTGTCCTTGGTCCCCAGCTAGAGGAGGAATTGTTTTGTCTCCCTGTGCAGAGAACTCACCATCCCACAATGTGAAGCTTAGAACTGCACACTAAAACAGCAGAGAATCTGAAAAATATAAAAGCCAAAACCTGAGGCATGAGGGAGAATGCTCACAGTGGGATATTTGCCCCTTTCTGGCTCATTTTTCATGGAATGCCATCATTCCAGAGGTGAATGAAGGACACAAACAGGCAATCACTGCCCCTCAGAGGCTCCTGAGCTGTGCCTGTCACTGACTGGACCATCCCAGTGTTAGATTTGGGATGGGAGTCATGCAGATCCCAAGATTTCTGTCTGTTTGACCCTCCAATGCCCCTCAGAATCCTTTGCTTGGAAACCAGAGAGCTGGCAGCATGGTTTGTCATTTTTCCAGACAAAGCAGAATCCTGGATTTTCCTTCAGTGCAGACAACTGGAATGAAATGTGAGGCAGGAGAACCAAATTGCGGGGTCAAAAAAAAAAACCACTGGGAATGGAAAAATATCCATAAAACCCCTGCAATCCTCCCTGCAACCACATTTCACCCAGGTGTTCCTTCCATCTGCCCCTTTCCCCACTGCAGCATCCTTGGCATGCATCTCTTTGGGTGCAAGTTCAGCCTGAAAACCGACACGGGAGACACGGTTCCAGACAGGAAGAATTTTGATTCCTTGCTTTGGGCCATTGTGACTGTGTTCCAGGTAAGCTCTGCGTCCTCAGGGATGTTTTAGGGGGAACACAAGGTTTTATTCCATTAAACTCTTCCAGGAGGTGTCAAATTTGGAGTGAAGAGTTATTAGGGTAGAGATGGGTTTAAAAGCCCTGATGGAGAAGAAATCTACTCAAAATCAGCACTGTCCATATCTCTTATCAGTAAAAGGATTCACTCTTATTTTCCTTTTTGCTGCCCATCCCGCTCCTACTCTGCAGATCTCTGTCTCCTTCACTGCCTTTTGCAAACAATTCTGTGTAACTGGGGGTGACAAATCCCCTCCCAAATCAGAGCTGGAGGTGCTGGGGAAGCCTTGATATAAAAAGTTGTGTTTCCTCTGCAGCCTGGTTTGTGCCTGAAATTCCTGGCAGGTTCCACAACAGAGGAATAATGGTTAATGCTGTTTCAAGGATATTTTGAGTATAAAAATTAGACTTTTCATGTTTCAAAGCTCAGGCTTTAAAATCTGAGTGCAACAAGTGTAAATAAAGTTTCTAAAAGCAGAGTAGCATCACTCAAGGTGGAAACCAGGCCAGAGCCTTCCCTGTGGATAAAAATTCTCACAAAGGAACAAGGACAAATCAGCCCCAGCCTCAGAGCTTCCCATTTTTCCCTTCCCAACACATGAATTGCTGCATTTCTCCTCCCCGTCCCTTGGGAAATGCAGCTGGCACGGAGCACAGAGGCTCAGTCCTGTGTCCCAGGAAGGTTATTGAGCAGCATGACTCAGTGCAGCACTCCTGTCCCCAAAGCCACCTTGGTTCAGGGGGTTTGAGGCCGTTTCCATTGCAAGAATTAATGTGGAACATGAGCCTGTCATCCATTTCTCTAAGATTTTTGAAGCTGGAGAGTGAAAATCCCTGAGGAAGATCCCTCAGAGCAAAGATTTAGAGCAGTGATGGGGATTTTTTTTTTCCCAATGTTTTTACCTGAAGGAAACAACTTCCCTGAGGTTGTGGAGCCACCCAATGTCATTTATCTCATTAAATATCCTGTCCCTTACCCTTTCCTTCAGCTCCAGCTGCCTTCTAAAGAGCAGCCTGAAAGGAGACAAGATCTGAGGCCTCAGGTCTGTTATCTTCTGATGGTTATCAAAGGAGGCAACACCTCCAGGAAGTAATGGGATTAGGACAGTGCATCCTTCACCTGGGGATATCTTGGATCTAAAGTGTCCTCTGTGGGCAGGGCAGTGCCTGCAGGGAGGGCAGGCTTGGCCAGCAGAGGTGCAAAGATCTAAATAAAGGCAAATTTCTACAACGTGATCCGACCTCATGTGCAGACAGCTGAACAAAGGCAATTCCTGCTGCCTCATCTCAGAAGAGCTGCCGGTGGAAAGGTCAGGAGGAGAGGGAGAATGGCAGGATTGAGTGCACAGAGGAGCTGAGGGTTCCCCTTTCCCTGCAGATCCTCACGCAGGAGGACTGGAACGTGGTGCTCTACAACGGGATGGCCTCCACCTCCTCCTGGGCCGCCCTCTACTTCGTGGCCCTGATGACCTTTGGCAATTACGTGCTCTTCAACCTCCTGGTGGCCATCCTGGTGGAAGGATTCCAGGCAGAGGTGAGACATCCAGGCTGAGGGAGGGGGAGAGAGCTGACACACACGTGTGGGGATGATCCATGGCAGGGAAAACATCTACCCAGGCAGGCAGCCCTACATTTAAATTTAAGGGCTGCAGATGATCTGTGTGAACACCTGAAGCTCTTCTAGATCAATCTTTGCAGCCTTAAATTTAAATTTTAATTTAAGGGGTGCAGATGAGCTTTGGTGGGCACCTGAAGCTCTTCTAGATCAATCTTTGCAGCCCTAAATTTAAATTTTAATTTAAGGGGTGCAGATGAGCTTTGGTGGGCACCTGAAGCTCTTCTGAATCAATCTTTGCAGTTAAAGCCCACTGGATGTAGAATGGGAATTGGGGAACCAGGACTCTGATCTCCTACACAGTCTGCTGTGTGATTTACTAAAAATAATTTAGCATTAATTTTACTCACCAAATCTCCCATATACTCCATGGTTTGTGTTTCTGTATGGTGGGACTCAGGCTTTCAATACATTCAGAAGTTTTACTAAAATCCCAACAGATTAAATCAGCTGGCTTCCCTCGATAAGGGCTGGTTGCCTGGTCCTGAAGGGACCTCAGGGCTCAGGACTTTCCCTTCATGGAGCTGTGCTGTCCATGGCTCTGTCCTGGGATTCCACATGTTCCAGCCAGCTCCAGCCCCGAGCACCAGGCAGGATGAGCCCTGTCCTTTCCTTGGAACTCTGCCCCTTCTGGAATATTTAAATCCAGGAGCACAGCTGCTCAAAAGCCATTCCCAGGTTCCTGACATTAAATTCTCAGATCTTTAGGACGTTGCTTTGAGGTGGAAGGAAGTTTTCTCCTTTAGGGATCTTTGCAGGGAGCAGCTCCCATTCCTCCCCTGCCCTGTGGGAGGTTGAAGCCGGTGCTGATGTGAAGCCAGAGCTCTCTGAGTGCCTGATTGCTCCTCCAGACAAGCTGTGGTTTCCCTGCCCAGCCCTAATGGCTCCTTTCAGAGCTGTTTCAGACCATGATTTAAATGTGTGCAAGCTCTGCTTTTCCCAGCCTGGATCGTTCACCCCAAGGGCCAGCAACCACAGGCATGGCATTTGCAGGGCACATTTTGCTCTCCACTCCCATTTATTATCAATCCTGACATCAGGCCTGTGGGTTTGTCACTTGTCTCGGGGAGAGGCATTACACAAAACCCTTCTCAGCTGCCAGGGCTCCACTCAAGCCTTGCACTGGGAAATCATAAAATCCTGGAATGCTTTGGCTTGGAAGGGAATTTGAAGTTCTGGTTCCAACCCCCTGCCACAGCTAGGGAACCTTCCACCAAACCAGGCTGCTCTGGTTGTAAACCAAAGAAGAATTATTGTGGAGCTGGGTTTGCTTTTGTCGTCCCTGGCTCTGCTGCTACACTGGGAATTCTTGGTTTGACCTCTTTGACTTTGCCTCTGACAGGGGCTGTTCTGAGCAGTCACAGTAGGCACTGAGGGGAATTTCTCCTCCATTTGCTCAGGTGTTTCTTTTATTTATCTGGAGGGACTCCTGGGACAGCTGAGAGCTGCTCTCAACTCAGAACCATCAGCAGGGCTTCAGCAAGGGCACTGAAATTGTCCTGTGAAGCACAGCACACGCTCTCAGCCTGATCCTAGCTCCTGATCTGCCTCTGGAGCAAGTCTGCCAGGAGTTTTCCTAGAAGAGAACAGACTTAAATGGCCACAAACCCATTTTTAGTACATTTGTGTTTAGTACAAGTAGCCAGACTTCAAGCAGGGCCATAATTGCGTATTTGTGTTTACACCGTTCCCATGTCATTTTGAAATCCCCCCCAGAGCTGCTCTGGGAGAGCAGGCAAACCTCCCGAAATTGTGCAGATCTTTCATCCACTCTGCGCTGGTGTTTCTGCTGTGAAACAAAGATGAATCAGGGAGCTCGAGCCGTTCAGTCATCCTGGCTGCAGCTCTTGGCAATAAATCACAGCAAAGTGAAGCTCATTGCCACTTCAGCACCATGCCTCTGGAAACTGGGGGGGTTTGTCCAGGCACCAGGCAAGGAACTGAGCTGCTTTCTCTGGGATCAGCCCTTCCATGCAGCCCTTTGCTGTCAGTTTGCACAGGTTCCTGCAGTGCTGAGGAATCCAGACAGATTCCTGCTGGCATTCTGCTGGAATCCCTCCCTGAGCAAGGAGAGCCTGAGGATGGCTCCTGTGTCCCAGGCTGATCATTTCTGGTAGCAGATCTGTCCAAAACGAGCTGGAATCACAGGAGGAAAGGCAGGGTGAGGGTGGCTGTTCCCTGTCCTGAGCTGCTGCGGGGCTGCCAGGCACACTGGCCCCATGCCCTCTGCCTCAGGTTGCCAAGAGATTTCCCAAAACAACCCCAGCCAGCACAGAGGGAGCAAATCAGGCTCTCCGGGTCTAAGTGAATTTGAAAGTGCTGTCAAACAGAGAATTAAATCCCTCTGACACCCTTTGACATCAAACCCCAAGTGCTTTCAGCAGGGATCACAGAGAGAGCAAACAAGGAGCCCCACCACGCCAGGTTTCTCAGTCATTCCTGCAATTCCAGCTGCTCTGGGATGTTTTCCCCTGGGATTTGCTGTTCCTGGAGCTGTGTAGGAAGCACAGTGACACGGCAGGGACACGGTGACAACCACAGCATGGTCCTTTCTGTCCAAATGAGTGAAAACAAGGGAGAGGGACTTGCCTGGGATCATTCCCAGGGTGGTCTCAGAGGGAATTTGGCACAAACCACCCACGGGGAGCAGAGGCAGCTCAGAGCTGCTGAGGAATCCTAATGAATTGGGTCTGTTAATTACCCTCCTCCTCTCTGCAGGGAGATGCCAACAGGTCAGACACAGATGAGGACAAGACATCTGCCAACTTCGAGGACGAGTTTGAGAAGCTGAAAGACCTCAGAGCAACAGGTGGGGCTTTGTGTCTGCATCTTCCTGGGGATCTGGGAGCTACAGCTCTGCTTCCACAATGGAAGAATCCAGCTAATTTAGCAATTAATCTGACTGCAAAGTCACCAGAGCAGCTCTGCAAAGTGTAGGGGAGGCTAAATGAGCACTGATATTTCCTTTAGACAGATGTTTTTCTAATTTAAACGTTCCCCAAGAATTTTTAGCCGTGTCTCCTCCCTCCTCCTGCACCATTAGCACAGAGTGCTTTGCTGACAGCAATGTTCTCACCCCACTTCTCGGCAGCTTTTCCAATCAATCAAGATCTCATCTGTTCCTTTTGGTTTCCCACACAAAATGCATTTGGGTGAGGTTTGATGGATGGAAAATGTTGCTGCTCATTTGTGTTCCAGGAGGGTCTGGCAGTCGGTTTGAGGGGAGGCCCACACTGCTCTGCTGTACCTAAAACATGGAATTGGAGGTGACAGCCTTCGCTTTGCAGCCAGAGGGGTGACAAAAAGGGATCACACATTTTAACAGTGAATGATGGCAAACAGGAGCCTCTTCAGTTCCTGCTTCCTTTGATTCCCAGCTTGGGCTCTGTGAGGATTCCTCCAAATGCTTCTAAACCAGGATTTGTTTCAGCCAAGGAGATGCTGGCTGTGGGGAGCAGATGGAATTCCGCTGAGGAAGGAGCAGGGCCACTTGTTGGGGACGCAGAGGTCCCTTCCAAGCCAAGCCATTCCATAATTCCACAACTCCTTTGGAGGACACTGAGTTCCCAAAAGCCTCTTAAGAAGTTGTGGCGTTCACCCAATGCCTTTCAACACCTTGGGGGGATCTCACTGCCCACAGCCCCACCTGGCAGAGCTCCTGGAGGTCCCCAGGAGCAGCGTCCCCTCACGTGGTGTCCTCTGGTATTGTATTTGCAGGGTGCCCTGTGGCAGCAAGGAATGATGAATCTGACTCCATCTTCTCAGAAGGTTAATTTATTATATTAAGATACTATATTATATTAAAGGTATATTATAAATATAAAAATATTATATTAAACTATACTAAAGAATACAGAAAGGATACAGACAGAAGGCTAAAAAGATAATAATGAAAACTTGTGATTCTTTCCAGAGCCCTGACACAGCTTGACCTTGATTGGCCATTGAGTCAAAACAATTCACATAAATCAATGTGAAACAATTGGTTTCATGTGAAACAACCACAGAAACAACCACCTATTGGTAAACAATCTCCAAACACATTCCAAAGCAGCAAAACACAGGAGAAGCAAATCAGATAATTATTGTTTTCCTTTTTCTCTGAGACTTCCCAGCTTCCCAGCAGCAAAACCCTGGGCAAAGGGAATTTTTCAGAGGACATGACTGTGCCACCCTATCCCCTTTCCCTGCAGAGATGAAGATGTACTCGCTGGCTGTCACCCCCAACGGGCACCTGGAGGGCAGGGGGGCCATGCCCCCGCCCATCATCCTG